TCATCAAGTGTTTAAAAATTAACTGCATGTTCCCTGATCATGAAATTTATTTTACTGTGCTCTGTACAACAAGAAGAGAAACAGGTATCAGGTCGTTTACCGGGTGTAGTTGGTGTTTAAATGTGGTAATGCAGCAGCGTTGGAGTTATACAGTCATGTTGTATGATGCGTCCATTTGCTGTAGTATAGTCGTTGGCCTACTAGCCACGGAGACAGCATGTTTTCAGATTTTGTCATGCCAGCGCGTACCGTACTGACGACACTGCTCTATGGTGAACCGTGAACTTTACGGCTACAATTTCCCTTGAATGCCTGATAAATAGCAAAAAAAATCAGCACAGCGTGTAACTCATGACTTTCGGTTTATGTTTTGTTTTAGTGGATCAACCGGAAAGCCCAAAGGCGTCGTGCATACCCAGCTTGGTTACCTGTTGTACGCATACGCGACGTTTCGTTACGTTTTCGATTACCATGACAGAGACGTACATTTCTGTACAGCTGATCTCGGTTGGATTACTGGACACACGTATGTTCTGTATGGCCCTCTGGCTAACGGATGCACTTGTGTTTTGGTATGCAATGAATTATTTCACACTGACTTTGTTAGGAAAATTTAGTTACACATTACTAAATAATTCAACTATGCCAGATTTCACATTTTTATTAGCTCGATTTTTTCCTATGTTATTAAAATGCCATTTAACCGGGTCGTATTTCCTTTATTTAGCACGCCTGGTGCATCTGCGACTGCGCTTGTAATGAAAAAGAATTGAACAAACGTTTATAACCGTTTGAATTTCAGTCTCCCTTGTACTGCCCTGATGATGCCCTTCATTTCATGAACTTAATGGTAGGGGCGCTGATCTCTGTTTCACTGTCATCCGTCAGGAGTGCCTTATTTTAAAGGTTGATTCCACAGCAGCAGTGCCGCAAGCGTAACGTATGATCCGTTTCTTTCCCACGGAGTGGTATTCATTTGTCAGTCTCTCGATTCTGAGTTTAACGCTTGATGCGCAATCTTGATCTGCCCGTCATACTTCTTTCAGTAGCCGATATTTCTTACACGTTTTATCAGTAGTACCAAAAACATGTTAGAATGACGAGAATATATTCATACGAATAATTCGGATAAAACGTTGCAAAATATAGAGCGCAGAAAGCAGTTGAAGCTGATCAACGTAAAATGAATATCTGTGCATTGAAGAACGGACAGTGACTCAAAGAAAAACTCTTGTCCGTATGTGGCAGAATTCTTGGGTTTTGTCTTAAGACACCATGTTTTTTTATTAATTGCTAACTTATTTGGATCAGGAATTCGTCCTAATGTTTCAGAGTCCCAGCCATGAAATGGGTAATAGGCCGATCGACTGTTGAGACAACAAAATGTATTGATGCGACCTGACCAGACCTTGCAAATTAATGTATACGACCTGACTTTACTGCTTCAGCGCTTCTTGACTTGTCTGATGTCTAGTTTAATCAGCTCTACTATCGTTTTGATTTTTAATTGTCTCTATCAGTTGATAAGCTCCCATGTAAACACTTAGTAAAGAAATGCTGAATTGTAATTTTTAGTTCGAAGGTATTCCTACCCATCCAAATCCTGATCGCTATTGGTCGATCATCGATAAGTACAAAGTTACGAAATTTTACACGGCACCGACGGCCATCAGACATTTGATGAGGTACGGCGATCACTGGGTGAATAGCCATCGTATGGATTCGCTGCAGATACTTGGATCTGTGGGCGAGACGTTTAATCCGGAAGCTTGGCTGTGGTATTACAAAGTAGTGGGACGGGGCCGGTGCTCGATCGTCGACACTTACTGGCAGACGGAAACAGTACGTTTTCTGGGTTTGTGTCTCGTTGCAGAGTACTTCCGCATTTCAGGGCGGTCATGTTGTCACTCCTTTACCGGGATGTATGGAAATGAAGCCTGGTGCGGTAGGATTTCCGTTTTTTGGCATTAAAGTTGCTCTTCTTACCGATGACGGAAAAGAGATTGAAGGCGTGGGCGAAGGATATCTGGTAGAAAAAAGAACGATTTTCTACATGACAGGCATTGCTGTATATTATTTTCAGGTTCTAAAAGCCCCTTGGCCAGGAATGATGCGCACGCTCTACCAAAACCAGCAGGCTTTTGAAGACACCTATTTCACCACGTTTCCTGGCTGCTTCACTTGTGGCGATGGTTTGTGGCAGTCACTACTTTTTTTCTTTTGTATCGGATGGCTACAAAAATGTGTGGCACCGAGTATCTTATTTTAAGACTGGCC